AAACACACATCAAATACATTTGATTGTCATTCTATTTCAGACACATAGAATACATTTGATTGTCATTCTATTTTAGACACACATCAAATACATTCGATTGTCATTCTATTTCAGACACATAGAATACATTTGATTGTCATTCTATTTTAGACACACATCAAATACATTTGATTGTCATTCTATTTTAGACACATAGAATACATTTGATTGTCATTCTAGTTTAAACACATATCAAATACATTTGATTGTCATTCTATTTTAGACACACATCAAATACATTTGATTGTCATTCTATTTCAGACACATAGAATACATTTGATTGTCATTCTAGTTTAAACACATATCAAATACATTTGATTGTCATTCTACTTTAGACACACATCAAATACATTCGATTGTCATTCTATTTCAGACAAATAGAATACATTTGATTGTCATTCTAGTTTAGACACATATCAAATACATTTGATTGTCATTCTATTTTAGACATATAGAATACATTTGATTGTCATTCTATTTCAGACAAATAGAATACATTTGATTGTCATTCTAGTTTAGACACATATCAAATACATTTGATTGTCATTCTATTTCAGACAAATAGAATACATTTGATTGTCATTCTATTTTAGACACATGGAATGCATTTGATTGTCATTCTATTTTAGACACATGTCAAATACATTTGATTGTCATTCTATTTTAGACACATAGAATACATTTGATTGTCATTCTAGTTTAGACACATATCAAATACATTTGATTGTCATTCTATTTTAGACATATAGAATACATTTGATTGTCATTCTATTTTAGACACATAGAATACATTTGATTGTCATTCTATTTTAGACACATAGAATACATTTTTGTCATTCTATTTCAGACACATAGAATACATTTGATTGTCATTCTATTTTAGACACATAGAATACATTTGATTGTCATTCTATTTTAGACACATAGAATACATTTGATTGTCATTCTATTTTAGACACATGTAGTACATGGTCAATCACATTTTAGTGTTCCAGCATACAATAAATGCTTCTAATAGAACAAATAAAGTACAAATGTACAATATTTTGGTACATTAAGAGACTGAGTACATGATTAGCAAGTAAATTAATATCTAGTTTCTATGCACACTTAGGACAAAGCATACCTTGATATGCATTTGAATTATTCAAATTGTTATTCTTTTCAATCTGAATATCATCTCTCTTCTCCCATGCTGGTGTTTGTACTTCTCGTTCACGGTGCCGGTGCAATTTCTCACATCTTTCAAGTTGAGTGCCACCATCATATGCTGAATCTGACATTCTGTCATCCTCAAGTTCATGTTCCCAGTCAGAGTCAGGGTCCTGCCATTCAAATGGTTCATGTTGATATTCCAATACTCTTCTCTGAACTCTGTAGTCTACCTTTTCCTTATAGTGATTATAATGACGATTCCAATGGGGCACTTTGTAGTCATGTGTGTACTGGGATTTCTTGAAAACCATTTTTAATTTATACCTGTATGCAACACAAAGTAAAGCAAAATGATCAAGAACATTTTATTCTTAAAAGATACAGAGGAATTAGTAAAAAAATAAAAAACACTTTTGATACAGTGAATTTCATGAAGGCACAAATTTTTTACATATCACACATTGCACCAAATCAGCCAAAAAAACTTGAGTGTGGCTTCTATTACTAATGAAAATATAAATACAAGCACAATTTAATACAATATTCACTGTAGAGGAAAGGAAAAAATAAATATAGATCATTCATCAAAATGAAAATAATTTGTAGTTCTCTGTGATTTCCCCTCATTTAATAACATATCAAATTGTATGTGTCATTTTCAATTTGTTGTATTGTCATAAATTTAGCTTTATAGAATTATTTATAAAGTGATGAAATAATTAAAGCTCAATGAAGACTTAAAAAACTGAACACTAAGTAAGAACAGAACCACAGCCTCTCTATCACAGATCTGGTTAGCTTAGAGGAGAGGAAGAGTTAATAAGGACATCCTCTTTTGCATTGAGGCATAGACCCTCTAAAAGAGGGTCTATGATTGAGGTAACTCTATGTCCTTTGCATAGAGGGAACTCCTTTTGCAAGGCAAAAGCCTTAAAACAGACAGAGATAAACTTCTGGTCAATATTTGTTGCGTGATGGTATTGTTTGTCAAACATACAGAAAGCATCAATTTAATCATTTTTGTTGATCAGTCATGGTCACCCAGCAGGTGTAATGATTACACCCTAAAACAAGAGCATATGTAAAAATTACAATGAATGAATCAGTGAACACATGCTTAGGTACTAAGCAAAAAAGTAGTACAGATGGTCAACAACACTACATTTATTTCATGTCACCATTTTAATTCATTCAAGGGAATTTCAAGGATTACAATAGATATATCACAATGGTTTTAGTAATATGCATAACAGAGAAAATAGGAATTTGGAAATCACTTGATAATCTCAAATTCATGCCGAATATGTATGGGGGTATCCCCATTTTACTTATGTGCACAACTTCCTGTTGTGAAAGATAAAGGGATGTTAGACATCAAAAGAACTGTTGTGAAAACACAGTGACAATTTTTATCTGTTACAAGCATGGAGACAATCCCTTGTTTGTTCTCAAGAGTGAGAAGCACAATGGGGGTACTCCTATAGTTACTTTTGCCACAGTACTATGATTTCGCGCACATTCCCTTAGATTGGACCAAGAGGTCAAAAACATTAGCCATAGATCTGTTTTAAAGACTGTCCAGATTCTTTGCACATGCTACTGAGGTGTGTGCAAACTTTTAGCACGGTTACTAGTAACCGTGCTTTTAGCTTCAGCCACACCACGGTTACCATGCTCCAGCTAAGTGCCCACAATGTAATTGTATTCAATGTCTGTTTAAAAGATTTACTATAAATCATGCTATAATTATTAAAAGTGCGAAAACAAAATTTGATTAGTTCAAAAATTGATCATTAATCGTTCGTCAATTAAAAATGTGTGTAACGACTAAAATTACTTTATACAAAGTGACGAACCACATATTATTGGATGACATTTGCATTCACCAATCTATATCACTTCTGTTATCACACCAAATTGCACAAATTATTGGTATCCATGGTAACAATGGATATCTGATTCAATATTTTAATACAAATGTACAACCCAGCAATTCTTGAATGCACATGATACATGCCCCTATCTGATGAAGAAAAGCAGCTGTCTTACAAAGGTCAGTCCGCATGCAACACTATTATACGGGTAACGCACCGCCAATACAAAATGCCGCGAAAATCACACGCCTTGACATATGTACTGGTGTTGTTTACGTGGGCAGTCCGGCACTGCAACCAGTGAAAATGATTGCTAAAGCAGCAACAGTGTGGATAATCACCTTCAACTCGTGCTCCTATTCACCTGACTTGTAACCTTAACTATTTCCGCCAGATGTTTCACTTCTCTTCGCCGATATAAACACCGAAAAAATACCACTTTACATTGTAAAGTTCCAGGAAGTGAGCATTATTGTCACGTGACAACGCTACTCTCACTTCTGACTGTTGGTCAAATCTTTACTCCAATGCGTAACCTTTAACTCACACCATAAATCATGGGATGCGATTATTTACATTTTGTTCATAGTGTAGAAACACATACAACTAAACAAGTGCATTGATCTAGTCGGATTCACTCCAAACCTTCTCAGTGCTGTCTCGTGGATGCGTACGCCATGGTACGGTGATTGGGGGAGAGATTTCGAGAGCTACAGCTCGCAGTATTCTACATCCTGTCTCTCATCACGTGACGCACTACTACTCTTGTCGGAGATCATTGTGTAACCCTCCGCCCTGAATACGTCGTGTGAATAAAAGCCCAGTTCAATTGTGTGCTTGTCTATTATAGAAAACTCCCGCACAGAACTGATGCGTTTAGCTTTTCAGCGTCTTTGAATTGATCGTTGGATTATAGGCGGCGCATGAAAGGCGTGTAAAACGCGGTGTTATCGTGTCGGACTCTTTCGTTCTTGGTCGTGGTGCGTGTCTACAAGTGAAGTGAGGTGGGTTAGATCGGAAGAGTGGACAGCACTCAAACCTTCTCAAGATGGCGACAGAGTTCGCACCGGAGCAACTACAGCTGGACGGGGACATCTCGGACTCAAGAAAACGACCACTAGAAGGCGATGTCGAAAGTGGGATACCAAAACGAACGAACATAGGTGGTAAGTTGGTATCATTTCATTGTATATATCGGGCACGGAAGTCAATTCGCAACTGTAATAACTGAATAAGGTGTTACCCCACTTCAGTCTGAAAACTGGCATTTTGTGAAAAAAGAACTCGTAACAAAATAGGAACTTAAACTAGAGTGCAATTGGACATATTGTTTTCAAATGAATGAAAACTTGTTGTAGTGGAAATGCAGCGTGTCAGATATGTATAATGTATTTGTGATTGTACATTAGTTGTCGTGTAAGGTCAGTTTTTACAATAGAAGGAAGAGGTCTTGCGATTTCCGCATGTGAGCGACGGGCAACAGCGTCTTGAAACGACGCCTTCTTTTGGTCACAAACTACAAGCAGCTGACATCCAGGTTAAATAAAATAATTTGTATTCTAGACCCAATCACCAGATTGTCTGATTGAATTCCACAGAATAAACCGGTCTATTTATATCCTATCTACATTTTGAGTCTTGTACCTTTTTTTTGTCGCCAAAAAAACCTCCAAAACACAGCAGTGTTCACATTTACTATGATTTAGAAGCTATCAGTATCAGATCGAATTTGTTTCCGTGCAAGAAAGGTCGTCATATACAATACATACACTGTTTTTATTTAGTTTGAAGTCTTATTGAACAGTTGTTATAGTGAAGTCAGTTAGTCACATCATGGAGCTCCATAGTCAGATTGACTAGTCTGACCTCTATTCATGAAAATGTATGTGAATTGTTAACTGTGTTGTCCAAAAGACTTATTCACTAGCTTATAACATGTGTCTACATGGCATGGCAGTCAAGAAGGCAACTGAAAGAATGCACAATTTTTACTTTATCACGAAAAAGTCCAGCCTCAGTATCTTACCCCAGCACTACTGTGAAAGTATTATATTAGATACTTAGCCTTTCAAAAGCCAATTTTATGAGAATGTTTGGAGAGCCATTTTTATGGGAAAGTCTTAAATCTTTTCTCCCAAATTACCATTTTTGGCATTTATTCATTGGAAAAAGAATTTTCCAAGTGGTGTTGTAGGTTGGTTTATTACATTTTTAATGACTAAACCGTTCAAACAGGTATCGACAAACATACAAAATGTATAATAATCCTGAATAACTAGACAAACATCAGGTACCTAGTACAGAATTGATTCATGTTTGCATAGTAAAATTGTCCCATGCCTTCCTGGTTGATCATTTACTACAGTTAATCATTACCTTCCATGAGTTGATTAACGAGAACAAAAATCCCAATAACCAGAGTCTTTAATTAATTTTTTACTAAGAGTATATACAACATGTAATATTTTTTGCCCACTTACTTCTGTCCACATGCATTTATTTTACAATGTTCAAATATTGAATGTGTTTTCCTGAGCACTCGAGCTATTTAAATTTTCATAATTTTTTTTTGACTGGTACGGTACTGGTGGTCTGGTAAATGTTTCACCACTATGTATACAGTACACATGGAATGCTGTGTGTGAGAACTGATGCAGCTGATATGGTTGTATTACTTGTGTTAGCATACTGGAGTATAAATTAGGGAGTTGCCATTATTTCAGACTAGTTGGATCTCCACAAACAAGTCTCAAGATTACTAGGTTATCTGTCATCTGATATAAGTTGAAATTTAAAACTAGGTGTGTCCTTTTGTACTAGTATAGAAGGCTATAAAAGAAATTATTAACTTTGTTGGGTTGCAGGCTGAGATGTCTCTGTGTTGAATGGTTGTGTGTTATTTACATATCAACATTCTACCAGTTAGATACCCCCTAGGGTGCTGTGCAACATCACACTGTGTCTGTGATATTGACCCTCACTCTCTGACATGCCTAGCTTGTTAGTCAAAGTTCTTAAAACAAAGTGTAGTTCCTGTTTATTTAATTACATGTAATTGTCAGCTATGAGATGTGTGCATGTCTTCTTGTGTCATTCAATGATACTCTGTTGATATGGTTGGACCAAATACTGGTCGAGTCCAAAATTAGAAATTGTTCATTTTTGATGGCTAGTTGTCACGCCTCAATTACAGTCAAATCTGCATAAATATCACTTTGACCCAGGCAGGCTATACGAGTCCATGCGTTTAGCATTTTAAATGCGCAGTAATTGCTGGAAAGAATGCTTGCTGCACATAATAGTGTTAGTAGATAAAATTCACTGTTTTAAAACGCTTTGAAGGGTTCCTTCTTACTAATCATGTTTAGATATTCCATCACATCAGGCCATTAGTTTCATGCTTGGTTATTTTTAGCTGTCATCAATGCTTGTGTGCACACTTGTATGCACCTAAAAATTAGTTGATTTAAACAACCTTTGCTGCAGCAACTAAACAATGTTGGGTTATTTAATGAAATATTTTTTTTTATTTTACAAGTAGGAAATGGATCATTTTATTTTACTTTTTTAAACCTGTAGAATTTTGATTGCTTTTTTTGGCTATTCATCCATGCATTCTCTGATTACCAATTAAAAGGTAATTGTCTACTAATCAATTCTCTTTTGTCAAAAATAGCAAATGCCTTTCATTTTTGTGTGAAAATAATGTCAGTTATTGTATATTGACATAAATCACCTTGTATAATTAGTTGTCATATTTCCAATTTCCCAGTTGTTGTAATTATGATTAGAAACCTAATTTGTAAATTTTAAATTTCCAAAATAATGCAGTAGCTTGAGGGGCTTTTGTGCAATGTGCTTTGTCTGGATATCATGCCTAGAAATATTTATGCAAAGAGTTTTAAGTAAGGGGATGTATCAACGTTGTACCCTTTTGCACTACTGTGTGTGAAACACTTCTAATTAGTCTTTTATGAGTATTACAGTGTTGTTTTAACCACAGTGTATTCTAGAGGGAAGGAGGGAGGGGTTGACATTGTTATCGGTGTAACTGTTGGGTCTTGTTGTTCACAATTTGTTATTGTGCTTGTATTGTCAGTGTTGGTTTATTCACCTTTTATTATCTGCATGACAAGCTTAGCAATGGTAATTGTTGTTATTTAGATTGAGGCTGTGAATGCTATAGAAAATCGTCTGTATGATTACAATAGTGTTGGCCTTAGTTGCTCATCACCTATTTGTTAAACTATTCCACTTGGCTAATTTTGGAAAACCAGTGAAAACATGTTGTGTTTGTCTATGCCTAGTGAGGTCACGGTTAGCTCTTTTGTCACAATGTTAAATTTTATATTAGGTTAAACTGTTATCCAGCAAGTTTTGACACTTGTATTGCCTCTCCCTCTCTAGTGACTTTACACAGGATAAGACTCTAACACACTGTTGGCTTTCACCTTGAAAGTTATTTTTTTAATAGTATTTTTTTGAATTCTATCTTTTTGTGTCCATGTTAAAACTATTAAATTGTAGTTTGATTACCTGACTGAAAATGCGTTTAAAGACTTATCAAGAAAATTTAGTTTCAGCTGAATTTAATTAGGTAGGGCATCCATGTTGTTAGTGATCTCCCTTGGAGCGAGTATGGTAAAATGATGATATACTGTTTTTTTTTCAGTGTTAGTCACTTATTCATAGCAGCACAAACCAACTCAAACTTCCTAATCAGCAAGTCTCTGGAATTCTTATCAGTTGGAATGTTACATTAGTCGCAATCCCTTTGGGGCAAACAGTAGGGTTAAGTCTAGGATATAGATTGGTGTTGGTACTGGACAACCAAGTTAGGCTTTTTGTGGGTGAGGGGTAAGGGGATTTTATCAATTTGATTGTTACCATGAGTAAACTAAGATTAGAACAGAAGATTAGTGGTAGTCCTGGACAACCAGCGAGAGGATAAAATTAGTTGGAATACAGTCTTACTCTTTACATTGTGCCTGGATGGAAGACTGCACTGGAAGATTGTGTTTGTGGCATATTTTTTGGAAGACCAGTGCTATAGATGTGTGGGCGTTTGTTTCAAACGTACTATGGAGCTAAAAATATATATAAATATAAATAAGCATCCTTCTGCGTTTGTAAAAAGCCACAGATTGTCCTTTTAACATTTCTAATATAACTGTAGTGAGCCTCTTCTCAACATAATTATGGGTGCTTTATTTTTAGCAATCACTAGCATTCTACAGGTAGTCAATGGATGAGAAGACAGGACACATTTCTCAATATAGGTTTATTTATTCATGAAGTCT